TCCCTACACACACCCCCCAAGCCTCTGCTTCCCATCTGTCTCTTTGCTCTTGACCAACAAAAAGGGCATTACTTACTCTTACTCAGGCAACACTGTTTTTTTTACTACCTGCTGTATCTAACTTACTCAGCAAAGTCAAACCCAGCTCTAATTTTGTGCATATTCCACTAAAGCAGCAGCATTCCTATAAAAGCAGCAAACAAGAAATGACAAGAACCCTGGAAAATCTACTTGCCTTTCCTGCTGCCCCTGGGGGCAGAACTGCGAACGTGAGGCCACAGCTACGAAGGGCCACACGCTGCAGCAGCTGCCCCACGCATCTCAGAGTAGCACTGAAAGGCCACGCGCTTCACAACCTGCTGTCATGCGAACCACCGAGGCTGTGGTGCATCAACATCTTTAAAATGCTCTCAGACACACAAGTTTTCATGAATTTGGCCCACTGCTCTTTATTTTAACTACAGCAAAAATTTACACAAGCTACGCCTAATACACTTAACTTGGGACAAAATCTTGTCAGATGTCAGAACCACAGTGGCACCGTTTTGGCTATCAAAGTTGTACGAAGGCAAAAAGAGGTCTGAAATACGCTAACAATTTCTGTACCTGTAGTTTTAAATAAAGTTTCATGTCACCCCATCGTGAATTATGAGGGTTTTTCTTCACAATGAATCTGAGCACTGGTTCCCTCTTGTCTAAGTCACAGTCCTTAAGAAGATACTCTTCTTTTGCTTCTGTCCTTGTTATAAGCTTATGTTTATCTTCAGCATCTCTGGAATATGTAAAATAATGATGAGAAAGCTACACCCGAAAACCGCATCATTAACATCTAAGTCCCCACCACTTCTAACATTCCTGAAATACAGGCAGCCCTCATTCTCAGTTTTTCTGTATGCAAGTAATTCTGGATTCCAACAACCTAGCTAAACTCCAGGATAGGTTTACTGAAATTAAGTTTAAAAATTCTCCCATTTGAGCAAACGCAGGCTGAAGAGCCTGTTTTCCTAGAAGTGCTTTTCTTCCATTTTCTTACAAGAGGGAGTAACTGAAACTTAACAGGAGTATGAATAATTTTAGGTATTCACCTAACCCAGATGCAATTCAAGAGGACTGAAGTACAAGCCTGACACATGGTCAAGAGAGAAAGAATGTGTAATCTGAGACAGGTCAGATCACCTGAGAATATACACACTCCATATGCTCCTAGATCCCAGAAACAGATTAGCAACACAGAGCGAGCACTTGTTTCTAAATGCAGGACAGCAGGCAGAGGAACTGTAAAATTAAGACCTTGAAATATTTTAACTTCTACCAGACAATGAAAAGCTGCGTAACTACAGCAGCACTTACGAGTTAAAAGAAAAAAAAATTACATTTACGCAATCCTAACTGAAGTGTAACTTGAATGGCTTGAGCCGGAACAATCTGCCAAACAGTAAGCGCTAGCAACGGTCATCCAGGAAGTACTGCTGCAAACGTAGCTTTGCTAGAATTCAAAGTTCACAGTAAAGGCTAACGCAGCACTGGAATCTCTTACACGTTCAGCTACGAGAGCTACTTGCACCGAAGAGAAGTGACTCATAAGGCTCTGAGCCCCTTCCTTAACATCCTTTTCCCACCCATCTTGCCTTCCTGAGACAGCACTTTGTCTCCAAGGGCTGCGAGCTGCCCACCCCCGCGGCAGCCCCGACCGCTCCCCGCAGCAAGCCAGGGGAGCTCTCCCAACAAACTGCCAGCCCTTCCCGCCCCCGCCCTTTGCCCAGTCATTCTCGCCCCTATAGGCGGTGGTTGGCTGCTTCCGAGCTGGTTTCATTGCCCCGGTTATCTCGATGGCTTTTGGAGCCTTTTTTTGTGTTAAAAGATAAGAGTGGAGACTGTGCCTTCTGCTCAAGGTCAAACTCCTGCTTACCCTGCAGGTCAACCAGTAACCCCCCCTGGGGGTGCTGCCCTTTGGCTGCCAGGCACCCAGCCCACTCGTGCTGACCAAAGTACTATACTTCACCCGGGTTAATTCACCAGGTCGGCAAACACTTCCCCTAATCCCCGCTCTGCTTCAGAAAGCAGATACTCTGTGCTCTATCAGTTTTTCAAATAGCTCTGGCCTGCAACCAGGCATTAATTTCCATGCTGACAAACACACTAACTGCTCTCACGACATTGCATTTCCGTTGGAGGGTGGGTGGGGGGGGGGGGGAATCAACTGGTGGCATCCCCTATCCTAAGTCAGGCTCATGAGACAATGCTGCTGTTCTCACTTCCGTAACGGAAAATATGAGTTTATCACTCAGCTTCCATTTACTTTTTCAGTAAATATTAAGTTACTGAAAAAAATGTCTCTTTGCTGACAGCCTTTTTAATTAAACAGAATGATTGTAATTATCTAAATTATAGCCAGCAATCTTTACATAAAATAAAGCTTCCCTCTCCTGATTATTTGCAATAATACCTGCAATTATCACATGTTGCCCAATCAAAGTGCTGCATAAGGTAGGAATCCATGAATTCTTTGCCACAGTCTCCACAGATGAGATAGTCAAACTCTAGCACAGGTGCTAATGGAAAGAAATGGGTGGTGGGTTGTTTTTTTTTTTAAGGAACTACTATGTTAAAAACAAGCATCTGGAACTGGTATTACAGGCAATTTTACTAAAATTTACATTATAGTTCTCACAGCATTCATTACAGACTATTTTCACTCCTCTATCGAAGTTTTCCAGAAAGATACAGTACAAATTCAAGCCCATGATCATGCAATCCCATCTCTGCTGGTGTATTTTTGTTCTTGCCAGAAGGTTCACTGTATTAAGTATTGGATTTCAACATTTAAATGCACACATTTGTTTCGACTTAGCCATTGTTTAAAAAAAAAAAAAAAATCTCCACATTTCCCCATAAAATGCTTCATATCCCCTCCCACAGCTTCCTCCGTCCCGGCCCTCCAAAACTCATCCTGATTTAGAGAGGACGCGCAGGCAGGAACGGGAGGAAGCAGTGAAGGGGATGCAGTCCGAACGGGGTGGCTAGAGCAGGAAGGAGAACAGGAGCAGCACTGGTATTGCAGTCCTCTCAGCTCTGCTCCGGTTTTTTTCCTAGCTCAGCCACACCTGCCTCTCCCTAAATGAGCTCAGCGGAAGCCCCGGGGTGGTTGGCAAGGCTCTTGTCCATTCCAGCCGGCAGAAACGGAGGTGGATGGCCAGAGAGCTGCTAGGAGTGGAATGGGGATGGAGCTCCACTACAATCCTCTCCCCAAGCCCTCTCAGCACTGCTCCAAGCCCAGACTCATGCCGGTGCCAACCATCGCTCCTGGCCGCATCCTCGCCGGGTAGATCGCCTCCAGCGTCATCGCCATCTGCTTTACATTCCATGTGACACCAAGGAACACCGATTCGGGTACCGCAGCTCTAAGGAATGCTCCTTTAACAGTAACATTGTAATTCTAGCAAAAAATTTAACATTTTTATACAGTTTCACGAGCTGGAAGTGGGATGATGCCGCAGAATATTAACAATACCTGAAACGGAAGATTAATGCTTAACATGCAGCACCATACATTTTTAATTGCGTTTGCATTTATAGCAGATTCGATCTAGCAAAGCCGACATTTTCTGCCAATTCAGTCCCACTGGCGTCAGCGGGATGCTCAGTACTTCACATAGCCATGCTCTTACATCACATTTCATCATTTAAGGCAGTACTCCCGAACATCGACACGTTTTATTAAGACAATGACGCTATGAATTACACAGCAAAAATACCCCCAGCGCAAAGGCACCCCAGATCTGCCCAATTTATTGTTAAACGTTAGCCCCTGGAAAGAAGCAGGGCTGCTAGTCGTTTACACTCTTAACGAAATCTAGTGGAGATTTCTAACAAAGAGATACACTGCACCAACAGCCCCGCAGCCGATTCAGAGCTGAACAAAGCAAGACAAAAGGCAATCCCAGAGAAGAAAGTCCATCTATTCTGGGATCCTTACTTCTCCATTTGCTTTTTTGGGGGAGAATATCACAAGCCAGAATGTCGAAATTCCCCACCAAACGGTCAGCCACTCGGCGCCAGAACGTTTTATAACGACAAAAGCTGGCGCTGCAGCAGTGCTCCGGTCGCGGCATAAACCGTACCAACCTCGAAATTCCCACAACCGACGAATCCGCCCAGATTTACACTTACTTTGATCTTAGAATTCAGATTCCCGAACAAAATGGTGGAAATAGCGA